CCCTCTGTATCTTCTATCCAGTTTCTCCTACTGGTAACTTTTTTTTTTGGTAAAAAATTGTAAGCCTGTGCTACAATGTTACAACTAGAAGGCTGGCCTTGTTACACAGAAGCTACCTTTTCCACCACCTTTTTCTTCCTCCAGGCTGCTTTTCAGAAGAGCTGCTCTCCAGGATGGCTCCCATAGGAATCACTACTTTCACCACAATCGGGCAAAGTGGGAAATTGAAGACTCGGCAGCTGCTGGGCAAGGATGATGCAAGCCTGTAATCCCAGCACTTGGGAGGCTGAGGCAGGAAAACCACTAAGAGTTCGAGGCCAGCCTGGGCTACATAGTGATTTTTTTTTTTTTTTCCACCAGGAATCAAACTCAAGATCTTATGTTTGCCAGGCATGCCCTATGCTGCTGAGCTATATCCCTGGCCCTGTATAGTGAGTTTAAGGCCAGTCTGAACTGCGCAACAAGACCCTGTCTCAAAAAAGAACACAGTATGGCCGGAGGGATGCAGAGATCTGGGCTTGTTTTCCATTTTTGTCTTTTTGAGACAAGGTTTTGCAGTTCACTCTTGAGTTAATTTGGTTCTTAGACGTAGCCAAAGACTCCACAGCAGAACTAAGGGGCCTGAGGGGCGTGGTGTGCGTGCCTGTGATTCTAGCACTCTGGGAGGCTGAGCCAGGAGGATGGAAAGTCTGAACCAGTATGGACAATTTAGCAACTCACTGAGACACTGCCTCAAAATTAAATATAAAATTGGCTAAGGATGTAGCTCAGTGAAAATGCCCTGGGTTCAAACCCCAGTACTGGGAATAGACAAAAAACCCTAGGTGCCTGGGCATGGTGGCACAAAGCCTGTAATCCCAGTGCTTGGGAGGCTGAAAACAGGAGAATCACAGGGAGTCTGATCTCTGTAGTGAGACCCTGTACTAAATACATAAAAAACAAAACAAACAAACAAACAAAAAACCAGGTGGCGTGATGGTACATGGGACCTCTCACCATAGCTGAGCTGAGAAACAGAATTTCAACTTTTTAGATTCTGGAAACACTAGATGCTGAGTCTTGCTTGGTCACATCTCACCCAGATATAGAGACAGATTTGTGCTAGTATTGGGAAGATAAGAGGGTTTCTACCAATTTTGCTATAATTTTCCCTGTTTTTTTTTTTTTTTTTTTTTAAAGCCAAAGATAAATATGTGTAAGATTGTGGAAAAACTGGAAACTGAAAACTTGGGGTGGGAATACAAAATTTTGCAGCTACTCTGGAAATTCCTTTTTTTTGTGGCCGGCTCAGCCCACCCTGGGAGTGGGGCTGTATGCAGCATGTGGTGCTGGGGATTGAATCGTGGCCCCTGCACTTTGCCTAATCAGGTGCTTTAGGCCACTGAGCTATCTCGCCAGTCCCCCCTTTTATTTATTTATTTGTTTGTGGAACCAGGGAATGAACTCAGACCCTTGCACTTGCCAGAGAAGCACTTATTCTACTGCGCCATCTCCCCAGCCCCTCCTCCCCCTTTTATTTTTTATTTATTTATTTATTTTCCAGAACCAGGGATTGAACTCAGGCCCTTGCGCTTGCCAGGGAAGCGCTTATTCCACTGAGCCATCTCCCCAGCCCCTCCTCCTCCCCCTTTTAAAGACAGGCTCTATGTAGTTTAAGGTGGGCTTGAACTCACTAGTAGCCCAGGCTGGCTTTGAACTTGCAGGAACCCTTCTGCCTCAGTCTCCTGAGTGCGGGGACTATAGGCATGTTACCATACCCATCAGGACTGAAGTACTGAGACCCTGTACTAAATACACGGAAAAAAAAAAAAAAGAAAAAGAAAAAGAAAAAGAATTGAAAGAAGAGATGATGCTGGGCATGGCACTGTATACTTGTAATCCCAGCACTTAGGAGGCTGAGGCAGGAGGTTCACTTTGAGTTTGAGGCCAGTGTGGGCTACACAGGGAGACCCTATCTCAGAACAAAACAAAACAGAACAGAAGAGTTGATGTCAACTGCTGAGTGTTAATTTCCCCTAGTCATGTGAAGAGCCCTGAGCTGGCCAGAAGACATTTATCCAAGTTCCACGTAGCCAAGTGGTCATGAATTCACATGGCACAGACAGCCAATTAGGGTCCTTTTCCAACTGTGCTTAGCTGTTTGGGTACAGGCAAAGAGAAGGAGTTGGATTTAATTAGGGTCAGAATTTTTTTTTTTTCTTTTTTGTCGGTACCAGGGATTGAACTCAGGACCCTGTGCTTGCCAGGTAAGCACTTTTTCTAATGAGCTATCTCCCCAGCCCTCAGAAGTCTTACCAATTCCACTTGACTAGGTTTTGACTTGTCAAGGGAGTGGGTGATGTCATTAAAATGAGTGTCATTAAAATTATAGATCATGTAAAGAAAATGTGGTATTTACAACAGAATGTTGGGTGTGGTGGTGGTACACTCCTGTAATCCCAACACTTGGGAGGCTGAGGCAGGAGGATCCCTGTGAGTTCAAGGCCAGCCTAAACTACACGTGAAGTCCTGTCGTGTTTTTTGTTTGTTTGTTTGTTTGGGTTTTGTTTTGCGGAACCAGGGATTGAACTCAGGCTCTTTTGCTGAGCCATCTCCCTGGCCCGAAGTCCTGTCTTAAAAAGACAAAACAGGGGTCCGGGAGATAGCTCATTGGTCTAAGCGCCTGCACAAGGACTTGGGTTTGATTTCCAGTACCACATACCGTGCCCACACTGCCCTGCGCTAGGCACCAGCCATGGAAAGCAAGCGTGGTGGCACATGACTGTAATGCCATTGCTGGGGAGGCCGAGACAGGAGGATCAATATGAGTCCGAGCTTCATAGCAAGACCCTGTACCAAATCCACAAATTTAAAAACTTGTAGTCTCTTTCCCATCTTGCAAGATGGCGGGTGAAAAAACTGAGAAGCCAGACACTAAAGAGAAGAAACCTGAAGCCCAGAAGGCTTCTGCCAGTGGCACTGGTAAAAAGGGTAAGGTGAAGAAGGCAAAAAAGTCCAAGAAGGGGCAGCCCCACTGCAGCCGAAATCCTGTCCTAGAGGAATTGGTAGATACTCCCGATCTGCCATGTATTCCAGAAAGGCTTTGTACAAGAGAAAGTACACAGCTGCTAAATCAAAGGTTGAGAAGAAAAAGAAGGAGAAAGTTCTTGCTACCATCACAAAACCGGTCGGTGGGGACAAGAATGGAGGTAGCCGGGTGGTTAAGCTTCGAAAAATGCCTAGGTACTACCCTACTGAAGATGTGCCCCGAAAGCTCTTGAGCCACGGCAAGAAACCCTTCAGTCAGCATGTGCGGAAACTTCGAGCTAGCATCACTCCCGGAACCATCTTGATCATCCTCACCGGGCGTCACAGAGGCAAGAGAGTGGTCTTCCTGAAGCAGTTGGAGAGTGGCTTGCTGCTTGTGACTGGGCCTCTGAGCCTTAATCGTGTTCCTCTACGAAGAACACACCAGAAATTTGTCATTGCCACCTCTACAAAAATTGACATCAGCAAAGTGAAAATCCCCAAACACCTCACTGATGCTTACTTTAAGAAGAAGAAGCTGCGGAAGCCCAGACACCAGGAGGGCGAGATCTTCGACACCGAGAAAGAGAGATACCAGATTTCAGAGCAGCGCAAGGTGGATCAGAAAGCGGTGGACTCACAGATTTTGGCAAAAATCAAAGGTGTTCCTCAGCTCCGGGGCTACCTGCGATCCGTTTTTGCTCTGACAAATGGAATTTACCCTCATAAATTAGTGTTCTAAATTTCTTACTAAGAACCTAATTAAATACCTGATACATTTAAAAAAAAATAAAAAAAAAATAATAAAAACTTGTAATCCCAGCACTTGGAGCCTGAGGCAGGAGGCTCCTTGGGAGTTCCAGACCAGCCTGGGCTACACAGCGAGTTCAAGGCCAGCCTGAGCTACATAGTGAAACCCTGTCTCAAGAAAAAAGAAATGAAAAAAAAAAAAAAAAAAAAAGACAAAAACAAAACACACACAAAAAAACCCCAAAACAGAAACACAATGGAGTCTTACACAGTCATAAAGAAGATAAACGAGGCATTCGTAGGTAAATGGATGCAATTTAAGGCCATAATATTAACTAAGTCAGACAGATTTAAAGAGCATATGGTTTCTCTCAGATGAGAGAGGAGCAAAAGAGAAATGATGGATAAAGAGCAAGTAGGGAGATTTTTTTCAAATGAGTGAGGAACAAGAGATGGGGGGAGGGAGTGAGGGAGGAGAGGGAAAGGAGGTGGGGAAAAGAAAGAAAGAGGGGAAACTGACCGAAAAGGGAGCTTCTGCAGACTGGAAAGGGCACAAGAGTTGGAAGGAGCAGGCGGGAGGGGGGACGGCAGGAGGTGAAAACACAATTAAAGATGTATTATGTACCTGTAACCACCTCCCCGCGATCATTGTAACTGATGTATATTGCATGTATGTACCAATAACAATTAAAAAGCATGAATTAAGAAAAAAAAAGCATGAATTACAGATCATGGAAACTAAAAGAAGCAGCAGGAGGAAAGGACGAAGCCCGCAAAGCGTGAGGAGGAAGTCAGTGGGAAAGGTGCGGAAAGGCGGCCAGACACCTGTCCCCAGACCTTAATCCGGAAAAGGGTCGGAGGTGGCTTAGGAAGCAGAACAGCATAATGGATCGAGCAGCTTTGGGAGTCACAGCTGGACTCACACCTCCGGTGCATCGCTTAGGAGATGCGTTCCTACGGGCATTTCTTTTACCCTGAATAAGTTGGTGGGAGGAGTTAATGAGATAATGCACGTAAAGCGCTTACCACAGCGCCTGGCAAACAGTAAGAGCGAAAAACAAGCAAGCTGTTACTGATACATTTTGAACAGACGCGCAAGGCGGGTTCACGCGGACAGTCCCGAAATGCGGAGGTGCGGGAAGGCAGAACTTTTGGATGACTCGGCGCATGCGCCTTCCCGCGGTCGCGCGGCTCGCGCGAGCGCTGCGCATGCGCCGGAAGTTGCGGCCGGGAAGCCTGCGAGGTCGGTTCCGCCCGACTTTAACATGGCGGCGCCCTTTGTCTGCTCTGAAGTGCCGTCCCAGGCCTTCTCGCGGCCGTGATGCACCTCCCTCCGCGGCGCGGCTCGGGACATGGCAGGTGAGGGTGAGCAAGCCCCAGGACCCGGGGGAGTCTCGGGAGCTAGAGCAGAGGCGGTGGAGGATGGGGCGCGGCGGGACGCTATAGACGGTTGTGTGGGGGAGGGGAGGGAAGTGGAATGGGACAGGAACCCGGGTCGAGGGGACCCTGCAGGGCAGGAGGCTGTGGGACACCCAGGCTGGGGACGGCACTGGCTTGTGAGCCAGGAGTGGGTGGCGGGCTGGCTCCCCCGACGAGCGAGCGCGAGGAGCCTCCGGGCCGGGTGACACACTGCAGCTGGCAACATCTGTGCCCCGCCGCGGACTGTCACTGCCCCTCGACCCCGCGTGCCGCGGCGGGTGGGCGTTCTGCGCCGCCAGGGGGCGAGGTGTTGGCCCCCGGGCGGAGGCGCAGGGGTGCCGGGCCTAGGAGCCGCGGGCGGCGCAGAGGAGGCCCTCGCTGCGCGGTGTGGAATCCTTCTACTCATTCATTCGTTCCGCACGGTGGCTCGGCCCTCGATCGGCCCAAGCACAGCAATGTGGACGGCCTCCGTCCTGGGTCATGCGTCGGAGCGTGCCCGGTAACAGCAAGGTGCTGTGTTCTCAAGCAGCTTAGGTTCGCCCTCTGCCTCGCTTTCTTCACCCATAGTGAAAGCAGCGATGGTGATAAAGTTTGCCGGGTGTGGTGGTGCACGCCTGTAATCCCAGCACTCAGGAGGGTGAGGCAGGAGAATCCTCAAGTTGGAGGTTAGCCTGGGCTCTCGGGTCAGTTTGAGGCCAGCCTGAGCTATGTAGTTGGTTCTTATGTCCTAAGATTGTTGAAAGGTTAGATGAGGTAATGGGTTCTTAGAACTCCTACAGTTATGGACTAAATACATGTCTTCCTGTTACTGTATTTCTGCCCCTACACCCTTTGGTTTCTTGAGACAGGGTTTCACCATGTGCCTCAGGCTGACCTTGAATTCACAAGGTAACTCAGGCTGGCCTTGAACTTCCAGCATTCCTCCTGCCTCAGCATCCAGAATTACACGTGTGCACCACCACACTGGAACTGTTATTTCTGTCACCTAGATTTCAGAGACGTCTGTGGGAGAGATAGAGGTAAATGGGCAGTTCAGACACTTCTGTGTCAGAACAGGAGTCGTCTTCACTCTGACAGTGCAGAGCAGAGTACGCAGAGCAGAGGCACTCTGCTCTGAGTAAGTCCGGGGAGCTTCTGTCTTCACAAAGCTGAGAGGGTTGTGTGGGAAATGAGGCAGGAAAGGGGGAGAGTGTTCTCAGCCGAGGGTAAAAGGTGTGAGAAAGTTTAAGTCTCTCAAACTTAGAGAGAGAAATGGGAGATAAGGCTGAAGGAGCTGGCAGTGTCTTAGGTCTTGAGAGGGAGCTTGTAAGCCCCATTGTTGAAGACTTTGAATTTTAAGTTAATAAAAAGGCATTAGAGCCTTTCCGGCGGTGATGAACTCCCCACAAGAACATGCCTCTCGCAAAAGATCTCCTTCATCCCTCTCCGGAGGAGGAGAAGAGGAAGCACAAGAAGAAGCGCCTGGTGCAGAGCCCCAATTCCTACTTCATGGATGTGAAGTGCCCAGGATGCTATAAAATCACCACGGTCTTTAGCCATGCACAGACGGTAGTTCTGTGTGTTGGCTGCTCCACTGTCCTGTGCCAGCCTACAGGAGGGAAAGCAAGGCTCACAGAAGGATGTTCCTTCAGGAGGAAGCAGCACTAACAGTACCCTCAATCAAGATGAGTGGGAAGCCATCCCAATAAACACATTTTGGATTAAAAAAAAAAAAAGGCATTAGGAATCATATTTGTAGCCGGGCATGTTGGTGAACACCTGTAACCCCAGCACTCGGGAGGCTGAGACAAGATTGCCATGAGTTTGAGACCGCTCTGGGATACCAGCTTGAACTGCATAATGAGACCCTGTCTCCGAGAGAGAGAGAGAGAGAGAGAGAGAGAGAGAGAGAGAGAGAGAG